CCTGCCATGGYTTTTATGGCTGAAAAGCAAATTTCCACTTTCTTAATGACAACTGTCATTTCCTCCTTTCAGCCACCTTGAAAGCAGCTTCACACAGCATTTAACCAATGTGGTGTTCATCRTGAGGCCCAGACATGCAGCACACATGGATATGGCCCAAATGCAATTTTATGGGTGTGCCACTAATAARTCAATGCTGGATTTCAGTTCTTCCTCTGAAATCACTTTACACAAATTGTCCTGCTTTTCAGTGACAAAAATATTGCTGGGCAGGACCTCCAAAAGCTGAATAGGTCAATGAACACCACGATTTAATAGCTCRGGTTTGTATGCCTGCGTTAGCTGCTAGCAGGTTAGCAGGTCACTTCATCTTCCTGTGTCCTTCCTCTGGCCGGGACTGACTTGGCCRGCTTAGGAAATACTCCTCACCCAGGCTTTGTGTAGTATTGAGCACCCTTCTGCTTTGAGTGATACTCTTGGAATCTTGTGGGTATTTACGTGGCCCTCCCCACTCTTGTAGCGTCTAACACTTCATGTTTGAACACATTTAACTCCAGCATCTCCCCAGCAATGTTAACCAGGACAGTCTGCATGTGAAGGCGCACAGAGCAGTAAGGTTAAAGCTTCCACAARAAATGTGGCAAAGTCAGAAACTAAGTTTGGGTCACCCAAAGCATCAAATTTCTCTTCACTCTTAAAGTTTCTTCTCAGCTAATTGACTGACAGTAAAAAGGGCAGAGCTCAGCATGCCAGAGCAGTGAGCCTGTAAGAATTTCCATTACAGATATATAAGGAAAATCGGTATATCTGTCCTTTAAAATTTGAAGCAATGCTAAAGCCATTGTGACAAATAAATTAATGAGGTCTTTTCAAAGATGTTCAAAGGCATCCATGACTCTACCTCTGCTGTTTTACAGACTCCATATGTGGCCTAATTATTTTTTAATAAAGGAAATGTTATGAGGTAAATCCTGCCCTGCAGAGTAAAGATGTTAGTCCAGCAAAGCTTTCATCAGAGTGAGGAAACCTCTCCCCTGCCTCCTTTTGCGTCTTGGGGTGCATGGTTACAAACTTTGATCTTTGTCTGGGAGCCTTGCATCTCTGCAATTGACTCCAGATAAAAATGATTCCAGCCAAATATTGGAACAAATGTTTAGATTAAAACCAAAAATCCCCACATCTGAAAATTTGATCTCAAACCCCTGCTTTCTTTGAAGAAAATGTCAGTCCTGCTTCTTACTGAGCTCTGATGGGTGGCTCCTGGTTAATCTCTGTCTGTCTCCCTGGTAAYAGTCAAAGGAGAGGACACAGAGGTGGGCAGGGAGCGAGCCTCCAACCACAGTTCCTCTTATCAYGGTCCATCAGCAGGTGTCCCTTGCTCATATACAGGAACAATAAATACAGCCTGTGGCTAAGGGAACCACCACACAGCTTTCTTCAGAAGTCTCAAAGAGCAGTAACTGGACTCCAGGTTTTGAGACATGCCTTGCTCTAACTGKGTGCAGGCACTGCAGTTGCCATGCTGGTTTGTTAAACTAATATTTTTCTTCATTTTAATCAGTGTTTRTTCAAGCAACTCTACAGACATACGTCACTACAATCAAAAACACTGAGCCATCAGTTTTTGTGCAATCTGAATGTTTAGCTGGTGTGGCAACAGTAAATCACCGTTTACTGTGTTCACAAAATCAATCTGTGTGTATATTTGCTTCATGTTTCTTCCCCACTGTAAATGAGCAGCTGAGTGTTTGGGGAAAAAAAAAAAAAAAAGAACTGGCAGAGCAACGTAGGTGCCACAACATCTGGCTGACCTGTGGCATTCTCCAAGCAATGGCAATCTACTCTGMATGCTCACTTTTATTAACTGTTCTGCAAGACTCTTGCTAAAAATTATAAATTATAACGACTTKCTGTCAAACCAAGTTCAAAGGTAACATTTGCTCATGAGGAACATCAAAATAATTGAGCCTGAACAGAAGCACTTTCCATTACTTAAAAGTGACCTGTGACTGTGGTGAAAAGGATGTCAAATTGGTRAATTCCTTAGTAAATGATGACACTGAAAAAGGCACAAGGTAAGGAATTTGAACCAAGTCACTTCCAGAAGAGAGTCAGAAGCTCCCATAAATGATTCTTTTTCCTGACAGAAGATGGCTGTCATAAATTACTRAATTATGGATAATGATCTGGCTTCAGATTCAGCCTTTGACCCAGTGCAGTCATGAGTGCCCAGCAAAGACATTTAGGCTCATTTTTCTCTTGAAACTGGTGACAATTMTTCAGCACTTGAGTCTACCAAAAGTCAGCTCTCCAAAAGCAAAGTATCAATAGATAGYTGGATGCCTCTAAGACTCAGCTGTGGCTAATGGAAACTAAAGCACAGCTCCACAGCKGCTCATAAATGACCTGCTCCCTGGGAAGCCTGGCAGGAAATTGATTCAGAGATAAACATTCATTTCTAAGACAGTTCCTATGGAGACTAAGTTTGCCAGGATAGGTATTAGCTCTTGTTAGATGGTCTTTGTCTCACATGCTCTCATTATGCTTGCTTCTGTTCTGTCCATCAGTCATTACTCAGGGGACCTCTGAGATTAGCCCCACTGGCTCACAAGGCAGCTCAGGTGGTTTTGGGTACAGCCAGAGCTTGGGCTCAACACAGGCCTGCCATGGGCTGCTTTCATGCACTGATAGGAAGGGGCATAGCAACCCTCCTCCTGCAGAGCAGCATCAAGGGCTAGAGCCTCAGCACCTCCTCATTACCTGTAGTAACAAAGATGAGTCAGGTTTTAGGATGAATCAGGTTTTCTTGTAGGTTGTGAGATAGTCACTGAGAAAAACACAGAGAAAAACATTACAGAAGAATATCACTAGAGACAGAGAGGAATTTGATTAATTTCATAAAAGTGCGAGATGGCTCGGTACAAATATCAKCAACATGGACAGGTGCAGAAGCCTGCTGGATAAAGGGAACACTCRTCCAGTTTCACACCAGCTGCTGAATGCCAAAGAGACACCCAAGTCAGAGACATCAGGGTGTCTGCAGCGTCTCTGGAACCTGTGTGAGCTGAGCTCTGTGCGTGGGGCAGAGGYGCCTCTGCATGGGAGGTGGAGCTCRTGGTTTTGCTCTGGGCACACGTGGGAACCAAAGGGCACCAGGAGTTAAAAGAAGTTGCACAGTTGACTTGGCCTGYGGACCTGCCTCTCCTTGGGTTAAGCAGCTCCAAGCAGTCCTTTCACTGCAAAACGGTAGCAAGAGCAGCCATGTGAAAGTGTGGCCCAAAGACATGTGTGCATAGATTTAGCAGGAATGGGACTTTTACTGACTACTAGTAAGGCTCTGACTTCTTAAGAAATGCATGGAGCCCCTGTCAAAGGGAAGTTWTCATCAGGCCTAAGTCAGCCTGGTTGGGCATTCAGTTCCACTGCTTTGAGGTGAGATAACAGATACAGAGAAACCACGTTTGCTGGGAAAAAACACCATTCTGGCAGAAAAGCATGAGAAGAAAAGCTGACAGTTGTTTTARATACATTTCTAGCTCCTGGGACTTTACATGCTGTCATTTTTCTCTACTTATTTAAACAGATACTGTAATTTTTCCGGTAGCTTAAAGTAAAGAAGGTAGGCAAGGAGGAATCAGTGGGGAATTGTCTTTGGCTTCAAAGATGCTGGGATTTAATAACCTAGCATTTAGGTATAAACATGTAAATTATATGTAATGCATTGTCTAAGTGTGCTACATCTCAGTATAAGCACAAAAAGCTACCATTTCTGAAGAAATGTATTTCAATCAAGCACCAGTAATACTAGATGATACAAGAGTATGAACATAYTTATTTTAGCCTAATATCCAAGATAGATATTTTACAGCAAATCCACTTACTAATTTCTGCTAATATTTCACATAACCAGGTGTGGAAAATTTTTTTTTATATTAAAAGTAAAAGAATTCTGAATGAGTACTTTATCACAGTTAGTACAGCTCTTTACTATAGAGAAGATGGGAACCAGTTAAGATGAAAGATGATCTGAGTAATGCATTGCTTGCCTATTATGAATGGAAAAGTCAGATTATGAGTTTAAAAAGCTTTAGATCTAAGCAAAGCATTTTGTGGAAATTTTTAATTCTATGAAAATATTTTTTCCCAATAGTTATGGGTGTGAATTTTTAATACCATTTTTGAACTATGAACAGAAGTACACCTGTGTAATCACTTGCTTTCATACAGTTTAATGTAGTTATAATGCATCAATAAATAGTTGAAATGCTGCATTATTTGAGCAATTTTAAATTTAGACGATAATAAAATAATAAAAATGTGTAACTACTTTTTCCCTGATTAGATACTGATAGTCACAACAGTGCTACAAATTCAATTTTGTATTTTCAGGCRTCTATTAAAATTAATAGAAGTCGGGACCTTTAGCATGTCACAGAATAGGGATCCTAATTTCCAATCAAAATACTCGGTTAATAGCAGAAGTTTGTCTCTTTTATRGTGCTTGACTAAAGAAAGTGCCTCTTCTCCATTGCAAAACAGTGGAAGAGACATGGGCCATTAGCACAAGCAAAACATTTTCACTTGATAAGTCAGTCTGGGCTGTTTTTTTCTGTCATGTCAGCAGTGTCTGAAGACAAAGGAGACACAGCAGACCCAGGAGACAGYATGTCTGCCCAACCCTGTTTCTGGGGGATCTCTTAATTTGTTTTTGAAAACACATAGCAAACCTTCAAGGTGTCAAAATTTAATATGCTACGTARCATGCTGCAGCCACTGATACCATGGGACATGTGAAAGGCTGTACCAAATCAGTGTCCTTGGGGAGCATAGTTCTATAGTTTTTCTCCACCTCCCTGACTGTCACAACAATCCCTTCATTAGGCAGTTAGACCTGGTCTTGTCTCGAGTGATTTGATAAGCAGTTGATAACCAACAGTTCATTAAGCTCTTGGGATATATAAGCCACAACGTTTTCAGCATGCCTCTGCACTTRGAGGGTTTGTCAGCTCCCTGTTCAGCAGCCCAGGGGTCACTGGAAGATGTTATTGACTGCAAAAATACTCGTTTTTGCCGTGAGTGGTTTCCTAAGAGTGGCAACGGGCTTTGACATTGGATTATCCACAAAATGTGTAGTGATACCCAAGGAGATGGGCATGTGCCACAACATTGGATACTCTGAAATGAGACTTCCCAACCTGATGGGACACACAAGCATGGGAGAGGTTATCCAAAAATCCACCACCTGGCAGCACCTTGTACACACAGACTGTCACCCTCAYGTGAGGACGTTCCTGTGCTCCCTGTTCGCGCCCATCTGTTTAGATACGTAAGTACCACAGCACAGCACAAAACTCCAGCCTTTATTTGCYAGAACAGGAATGAAATCAAAGGCATGTTTATCACAATCTAAAGGTAATCTCTGCTTTTTCTCAAGTAATTCTGTTAACCTTTTTGTATTTATCAGAAAAAACGTACTGAAAAGTTGTTCAACTTTAGTTTGCCTTGGGAATATGAATGGTGTTGTTAAAGGATACAATGTTTTATTTTGTTACAGCTGAACTTTATTCTTTCTCATTTAGGGTTGTAAGCACCTACTGTGAATAGAATCAGGCTCATACTGAAGCTTCTCTCAGGTTGTCATAAAAGCATTTTAAAAACCTTAACAAAATATTGTAAGCTCAGTCCATACAGAGACTGCTTGCATAATCTCCACAGCTGCTGCTTCTGGAATTATATTATTATTGAAGGATGTTAAATATCAGCAAAGTTATGTATTTTGCACAGGAATCACTGTTGCAATAGTTTCTGTTATCACTGAGCCGACTGACTAAGCCTGGTATTTCCTCCCACAACAGGTTTATCCATCCTTGTAGGAGTATGTGTGTTGCTGTCCGTGACAGCTGTGCCCCTGTGCTCCTCTGCCATGGACACCCCTGGCCGGACAGCCTGGACTGCAATCGATTCCCTGGAGATGAGGACATGTGCCTGGCTCCTCTTACTAAGGACCATAAATACTTGCATAAAGGTAGCTGGAAGATGGCAGAGGGGAGGGTGGCCATATCCTGTGTTCCTGGGAATCGAGGAGATACAAGGGACACTGTTTCCAGACATTCTGTGATTTTGTAAATGGAGTCAAGTCTACCTTTACTGCCYCACATGTTGGTGCAGATAGGTGGGAGAGTGCCAGTGCTGGCAGTGTAAGCTGCAGCAGACCTCGGGTGCTGTAAGGCAGCAGTGCAGCAGACTCTGTTTTGATAGGGGAGGAAGGCAATTGTCATCCTGCACAGCTGAGAGCAGTGTCATACCCGCAGCAGCACACCCTGTTTGAATTTCCACAGATGAATCGATGTATGCAATAAGTTGGTTCTCAGATCAGCTTAGAAAAATTGAGATGATTTTATCTGATTTTCCTCAAATAAACATGAACTACCATGGGATTAATGTTCAAATCTTCAAATGCACTCACACTTACTAACTTCCCTGGAAAAGAGTAGGATTCAGTTGCTGCTAGCACGCCCAAATTCATATATATTCAGAGTCTAAGTGCAGCTGAAGCCAGAGTGACTGAGAGAATAAGTCACCTCAACCCTTTATCACCYAATGTAGCTACGTTAAAAATAATACTGCATTTGTTACTTTTTTTTTTTTGTTGCTGATAATTGAGCTTGTCAGTCTGAACAAGGACTGAATGTGCATGGAAATTGAAACTCATTTTCATCCCTAATGTTTTAGAGAAGTGTCTTGACTTTTTAGCTATTGTCACTGGCCTGTTGTCTATTTTCTCTGTCATCCCTGTGGTTAAACAATGGGTTCTCAGCTTTGAAAACAGAAATCTAAATCAAATTATTCTAAAAGATAACATGAGACTTTGTAATTTCTTATCAGTCCTACCGAAGCCTGCCTGCCAGACTTGCCCAGCAGTGGAGGAATTCTTTACACACAAAAGAGTTCTCGAAGTTTTCTGTGACAGTAACTTTGGTAAGTCCTTGCTAATGTAGCTGGTGTTAAAGAGACTAACAACTCATCTTCTAAATGCTTTAAAAGTAGGATTACAATTAGTGACAGTTTCTGCAGGGATTTCAAAGGATTAAGAGTTTGGCRGCTAACTTATTTTTAGGTTAGTTTCAGAATATGTTCTTTCTAATCTAAATATAAGGAGGATTTACATTGCATGAAAGATTTATTAATGATCTGTTTTCCAACCAAATAGCTCTTCTGGTCTAATTGGCTACTCTGTAGTACAACATGCTTTATGGAAAATATTTCTGTCAAAAGCAGCCAAATAAGCAAGTTTGCCTTTTTATTAGCATTTAAACACAAAGAAAAGCTTTGGAGTGTATGGTGTATCTTTGCTACTTTTGTGCATGAGTTTTATGTGATACCTAGCTTATTGAAAAGGAGACTCAGAAAATCATATAGGTAAAAAGAATTCTTGCCTCATGTTGTCTTGTTGGAGTGTTGAGTGGAGTTTTCCCTAGAGAGCTCCTGGTTAGCTCTTTGRTGTCAGTGCAGAGAATTTCAGTGACTTTGACTAGCAGTAGATCAARAAATACAGAGAAATGTCATGGTAAAAAGCGTTGGTGGAGTCGAGTAGTGGGGTAGGTAGATGCCTATGATGAAAAAGGAATATCTAAAAGGCTGGTATCAGCAAGTTATTGTTGCCTAGGGATTCCACACAWGGACAGAATGAGTTTCAGGAAAATTGCTTGGGCAATTGCTTGGTAGCCTTGTGATACAAGAACAGCACCAACACCTACAATATGCAATTACCCAAAAAGTCTGACACAACATGGTGACAGTAAAAATAAATGACTCACACTAGTGAAAATATGTTTTCCTAGTCACCCAATTCAGTGGGGGGGGGGAAAAAAAAACAACCAACCTGATTACTAATTAAATTTTACTTTTCAAAAATGTTTTAAACTTTTTTTCTGCTGCTGGAAAAGGCCTCATGATACTCTGTCAGCATAAATTATGGTAATATTTTTAAGTAATTATCCTGCTTTCACTGTTAGTGTTTCTTTCTGCATTTGAGAAATGGAGTGATTCGTGTTTCCTTTTCTTTTTCCTTAGCAGTGAAAGTAAAGCTTTCCAAGAAGAGATCAGCATTTGATGACCCAGAGTATAATATTGAATGCCAGGTAGAATTCATTATCCAGGGCTCCCTCTTGCCTTATGAAACTCAAAGCATGATTCAACAGTGGCTACTAATTAATGAAAAATGTACAGAGAGGATGACTCCAACCCACCGTCCCATGGTGTATCTCCTCGTGGGGAATATTGAAGAAGGCGTCATTTTAGTAAACCAGGTCTATCGCTGGCAGAGGAAGGACTCCCAGCTCACTTTGGCCACTCAGAAGTGGAGATACCATAAATGCTTGTAAATATTTATCATATTATTTGTAAAAAGATGATTATACTTCTCATGCCAAACCTATCTTGTAAATAGGAATGTATTATAAATTGAATATAAAGGTTTAATTTCCTTTTAAATTGTATTGTAAGTTGGACTTAAACCCCAGTGTTATCAGGCTTCCTTTCTGTAGTGTTACAGCTACTCTCATCCAGTTTGAAGCTGGACAGCCATGGATAAATACTTCTTCGGGTTATGATTTAAAAAAATTTGTAATATGTGCAAACACAGGCATAAACCAATTTCAAATCCAGCTGACTACTTTTAGTGTATTTGTCTATACCACCCACTCTACCATTTTCTCCAGTTACCTAAATTTTCCCCTGCCTAATGTTTCATGAATCCATCTCATTTTCTCCCACTGATGTATTTTGAAAGGAGGCAGCCCTCTGCTGGTCGCTTTTGCCGGAATTATAGTGGAATAAAGAGCATAATGGCAACTGTAAACAGGGTATGGCTGGCACCAGTCACAAGAAGATTCGGTAACTAAGCGTCATAAATCAGATCCCTCCTACTGAAAAGTCCCTTTTCATTTTCAGATACATTATAAAAGTCAGTGTATAAAATAGTTCACCAGTTCTCCAAATCATCTGCAGGGAACTAACAAAGTCACAATATTTAAAAAAACCCCAAAAATTAAAAAAGAAAAACATATTACCGCAGGCACAAGATTAGCATCCTCACGGTAAGTGCAATACACTGACATTAAGACTACGTGAGGATGGACAGAACTTGACTTAATTTTTGTTTCATAAATGTGAATAATAAACGCACTGTGATTGATAATRCATAAATTAGAAACTATTTCAGTAACACAGTGTCTATTATGGTCATATTTTCTTGACACAAATATGGGGAAAGTTTATTGGCAGTAGATTTCTAAAATTTGCACCTGTAATGATCTGGGTTTCCGATACGTTGTCCAAAAGTGCAGATTTGTATCGGATTATCAAATTTGATGACATCTGTTCCGTCACTTACTACCATGAACTGGGAAACTAGTAGAAACCGAGGGRAAAAGCGGTCAATAATTAAAGAAGCTGTGTACACACACGTATCGACTGCCCTGCCAGCCTCGGACAGACAGGAGAGACACCAGCGCCCGGACTGACCCGCTGACGGCACGGCACACAGCGGAAACGGAGGAGAAATCCCTTTACTTTGTTTTTCCTTATGTCAGAGGATGCCACACGGCCCGGGGCTGTGGGTTGTTTTGCTCTTGTGTCAGTTCCACACTAAAACCCTCTCAGCGCTTAGACTCCCCCGGGCACGGCCTCACCGCCGCAGGGCCCTGGGGTCGGCGATGTCCCTTTGCCTGCCCCGCCCGGCTCGGCTCGGCTCGGCTCGGCTCGGCTCGGCTCGGCAGCACCGGCTGGGCAGCACCGGCTGGGCAGCACGGACACAGCACGGACACAGCACGGCCAGGGGAAGCCCAACAGCGCCATTCGAACTGCGCTCCATGCACGCCCGGGGGCGGGGGCTGTGCTCGGCACACCCACAGCCGGGCCGCGGGGCTGGGCCGCACCGCCTCCCCGCCTCCCCGCCTCCCCGCCCTCGGAAGCCGTGGGCCGGGCGCGGGGCCGGGCTGGCTCCGTGAGAGGCTGCCGGGGGCTGCTGGCCCTCCCGGGAAGCGAGCGGCTGAGAGGAGCGGGCCCGTGGCCCAGGGTACGCCACCTCCGCGSTCGGCAGTGCGCTCGCATCCGCTGACCTCGCGTCGGCTTCTTTCTGTCTCTTCAGCGCCTCTCTGGGGCTTTTGAACGACCTCTAAAGTTTTAAACGCAGCAGATCGCTTTAGCTGTTTTGCGCGTGGGGTGTGAAATCCTGTTCGTACTCCGCGGCTCCGTAGCTCAGGCTGGCAGCAGCAGCTGTTGGGCCTCGCCCCACAGGTACGTGTGGAGGGAGGAGGCGGCCTGTGCTCCGAGCCTCCCCTGTCGGTCCGGCCCTCACCGGGGGCTGGGGGAGCTGGGTGCCCCCTGCCCCTGCCCCAGAAAGGCCCGCGCYCAGTCTGGAACACTCGGGTCCTTGCGAATCCTGCCTGCCCGCACCTCACGGCAGTGGGTGCAGTTTGTCGGAATCTGGGTCCCAAACGTTCTTTGATTTCATTCTATAAGTACAAAGTCTAAAGTGCAAAACTGCCGTGCAGGTATTCTTATATTATATATCTTATATCTTATATGTACTTATATTCTCACTTGGTAATGTAATAGTGATTGGTTTAAGTTTACGTCTGATGTGAAGTGTATGTCTTGGGATTTTTTGTTCTGCTCAGTATGTAGCAATGGCTTCAGGAACAGCGCTGATTTATGATGAGGAGATGACCACTCACAAACTACTTTGGACTGAGTAAGTCGYTGCTGTTGTTTTTATTAATAGATTCTTATTAGGATTTGCAAAACCGGTACCAAATAAATGCATGTTTTGTAAATGTAATAGGAAGCACCTAGTGATAGGTGCCCTTTTCTGAGTCAACAGAAAATCTTTCCTTTAGGAGAAAAAAAATATTCCCAATTTGTATCTAAATACTGTAATGATAATCTAAAACTGGATTTGAGAAGCTGTAGGCATCTCGTCTGGGAGGCCTTAAGAAGTGTTAGGATGAGGGATCTGAGTATACCCCTTAAGTAAGTAGTTAAGCTAATTAAATTCTTTATAAAGCTAAGTATAATTGATCTTGGAAAAAGTATGAAGATATAGTCACTCAGCTGAAACCTGTCAATTACAATCAGTTAGAATTCGGTGTATTACTAAAATTTGTGTGAATTAGACCAGTTCCTTTGCAGTGCTCAGAGTAACAATCCGTTGTTGTCTTCTCTCCCAAACCTGCTTCTCCTCTGTTCCCCTTCATTAAAACCTACAGCTTTTAATTTCACCATTCCCTTGTCTGCAGTTAARCATTGCAAATTTTCCCAGTGAGAGAGGAAACAATAGATTATACTACTGTATTGGTTTCTTTTTTTGAAACATTTTTTTTTTTGCTTACATATTTTAGAACCAATTTCTGACTCAGTTCCAAAACAGAAAGTATTTAAAGATATTCTTTTTTTCCCATTTACTGTCATGTACTTCTTTTAGGGTAATGAATCTTCTTAAAATGTGAGTTTTAAAAACTAGGCATTATGAAGTGTATTAGTTACTCATGGTGGTATAATATTATAGTAATATAATAACTGCTTATTTCTAGTCCCATTTGTGATATAGAAGTGCCAGAAAGACTTTCATCCTCCTATGAGCAACTTAAAAGTTACCATCTTGTGGAAAGATGTGYCCATGTGCCTGTCAGAGAAGGAAGCGAGGAGGAGATCCTGTTGGTTCACAGGTCTGAAACTTAACTTTCATTCAGATTAATTCAAGGAAACAGCAGATCTCATATTTCCAGATAATCTTTTGATCCATTTGAAAAGAGTGCTCAAAAGTTCAATGGCTTCCATACATTTCAATAGAAAATGTGTCACAATGTTGAGTATGGTGTAGGTGCTGCATTATGAATCTGCTGTTCCACTAAATTTACATTCTCACTCTGTGGGATCTTAAGCAATGAATGCTGATTTATACATAGGAATAATAGTAAACTTCTAGAAAATATTTATAGTTGGTTACTGAAGTGTTGTGTTTATCTTTATTTCCCCTACAGTTTAGAGCACTTGGAAGTGGCAAAAAGCACCCAGACAATGAATGAGGAGGAGCTGAAAAGAATCTCTGAAAATTATGATGCTTTTTTCTTTCATCCGGTGTGTTAAGTTAAATTGCTTCCTCTTTTAGGAGTTACAACTAYTTGTGTTACTGCATCTGAGTGGCATTTTTCTAAGTAGGAGAAAATTAAAAATACATTTTTTGCACTTACGTAGTCTCACATTTATTTATGACATTACTGTTATCTGTTTATAGTTTRGTATAATGCTGTAAATTGGTCAAGTGTCCTGTCATCTATTTTGTAATTGTATAATGCACTACGCACATTTTAGGTCTATTTTTGTCACTTATTGTCACTGTAGACCATTAGTGACCTGCAAATCACATTTTGGTAACAATTGCTCTTAAATGTTGTGCCACGAAATGGATGAAGTCTTCTGTATTATGTTTCTATAGGGTTTCATTCCTTATTTTCTAATGTCTTGTTATTCCACTCAATACATCCATCTCATGTTTTTTACTGCAGAGAACATCCTTGTAAAGATTGTGGTGATCACCTCTAGTCATAGGGGAAAGCACGTTGAAATCTGTGTTGTAAAGTTTTGTTTCAACTATCTTCATACAGCTTCASTGGGGTGGAATTATGTCAAGACAGTTTGCTGTTGGCATGTTAAAGCATGCCAYGTGTGCCTAATTTAAGTTGATGAGTTTCTCTTTCTCAGAGCACTTACCGCTGTGCCAGACTAGCAGTAGGAGCAACTTTGCAGCTGGTGGATGCTGTGATGTCAGGAAAAGTGCACAATGGAATGGCATTAGTAAGGTAAGAAAATATGTGAGGAAGTGTTCACTTCTTAGAAAAATTTATTTTGTTGGGACTAACTTTATAAAACTTTGGTTCAGACCTCCAGGTCACCACAGCCAGAGAAATGCAGCTAATGGGTTCTGTTTGTTCAACAATGTTGCTATTGCAGCAGAATATGCAAAACTGAAATACGGTCTACAGAGGTAAGTGCACGGTTGACTCTAGAGAAGCTTTTCATATGTAAATAACAGTTTGACTTTGTACTGGTTTAGATTAATGTTTAGAACTTTCTGGGTGTCACGTTCCTTTTGGTTCAGAAAAACATTTTTTATTTATACTTTCTCTAGATAAGATGCTGTGGCTCTTCCTCTGAACGTTTTCTTTTACTGATCTGTACAGAATCCTAATTGTTGACTGGGATGTGCATCATGGACAAGGAACTCAATATATATTTGAACAAGATCCAAGGTTTGAAGGATTTTTTTCTTCTTTAATGTCCCCTCTTCAAAGACTGTTTGCCGCTGTAGAGACTAAGATTTCTTAAACTTTTAAAACTAGGATCTTGGAAAACATTTGCCTTACTATTTTAGTCTTTCAGTTTTTTCACTGGTTATAAATCTGTTCTACATTAAAGAATAACAAACAAAATTAGCAATATGATTACCTTGGTTTGCCAGTACTCAGATAGTACATCTATTCTCTATTCATGAATCTCCCAGTTAAAGTCTTCAAGTAGTAGTTGGATAAAATACATGAGCTTTATATATTTTTTGAAAAGCTACCTAAGTAGGTTCTAGAAACAAGTTGGTTGTTCTGAAAATTTCTTGTATTTAATTTGCATGGAGTGCATGCCTACAAGACATTTTTAGCTTGTTAATTTTTAAGTTAATTTTGGCATAGGATCTACTGTACCAATTTTCACAGTCTAAGTCCTTTGAGAGAACTAACAGGAAAGCACAGTTTTAATTTTCTTGCTTTCAGGCAATACAGTCACCAGGTTCAGGATATAAAGTAATTTCCACAATCTTTTTGTCATACCATTTTTTTTTTTTTTAATTTTGTTTTTAATTTTCAGTGTTTTGTACTTTTCTTGGCATCGCTATGAACACCAGGAATTCTGGCCATCACTCAAAGAATCTGATTATGATGCTGTAGGTCTGGGAAAAGGAAAAGGTTTTAACATAAATTTGCCTTGGAACAAGGTAAATAYTGTTTGTGGCTCAACAAAGCAAGTGCAATAGCTTTGTATCTCATCCTTTACGTAACAATTTCTGAGTAAGTGCACTGCTTCACTTGCTTGGCAGATGTCTTACAGAGTGTATATCCTTCCTGTCAGGGGAAAGTCTGCTGAAAATATG